TGGGATGGGGGTGACAGGCCCGGGGGGGGTGTTAGTGGGGGAGGGGAGGCATTTCCCTGGGATGCGGGGTGGTGACAGGCCCTGGGGGAGATACTAGTGGGGAACATTTCCCTGGGATGTCAGGGGTGACAGGCCCTGGGGGAGATGCGGTGAAGGGGAGGAGCACGTATCTGGGGTGACAGGCCCTGGAGGAGAGGTGTCTCAAAGAGAGGATTATTTACCTAGGGGAGAAGAGAGTGAGAAGATGTGCATGGAGAGATTTATTTATAAAGTTACCTGGGCAGGGCTATGTATGGATGATGTTTATTCTGATGAAGAGGTGAGCAACTCTCACTTGGGTACTTATTCATGAGTTCAGGGTAATAGATCCTACAGGGCGATGCTTATCAAGGCAATAGATCCTGTACCAGGGCATGGTGGGTAGGAAGTGCCAGGCTTTGCAGGGAGGCGCTTACTTGTGAATGGGAAGACATTTACCAGAGCAAAAGTGTCTAGGGGGAATGACAGCACTCCATAGGATGATGTTTGTGTGGCAAAGGATTGTTTACCAATCAAGAACCCATGCCAAGGTAATCACAACCCCTACTACAGGATGATGATTATTCTGTGGGGGCTATTTACTGAGGCAGAGGGTGGTGTATGTTTGGGAGATCAGCTCTGTAAGAACAAAAGAATGGCCATACGGGGTCAGACCAATAGTCAATCTAGCCCTGTATGTTGTCTCTGGTGGCGGCCTATGCTAGGTGCTTCAGTAGGAATGAACAGGATGGCAATTAGTGATCCACCCTCTGTTATCCAGTCCCAGCTTGTGGATGTTGAAAGTTTAAGAGCACCCTGAGCATGAGTCTGCAGCCCTGACCATCATGACTAATAACTGTTGATAGACCTATCTTCTATGAATTGATCAAATTCTTTTTGAGCCCTGTTACAGGCCGTCCTTGCTATAAGTCCAAAGTACGTTCCAAAAAAATTGGACTTATCGCGAAACTACTTAAAGTGGGGAATTTTTTTCTTGCAGCTGACTTCCATTTGTGCACTTTTTTTTTTGCATGACTTAGGCAGTTAATGGGAGGACTTATAACACATCAGTTCCTACAAGTGTCGATGACTTTAGTGCAGAACGGATGTATACTGGGGTGTCTTATAGCAGGGACGCCCAGTATGCTCTTGCCTTTCTGTGCAGCTAAAGCATGGAGTGGAATGGAAGGGACCCTGTATGGAGAAGGCTATTTTGAGGTTGATTATCAGTTTAACTGGACAGGAGTGTTATGGGGGAAAAAGTAAGACGGTAGACATTGTTCTGAAGGGTGGATATTTGGTGGTCTTTATGGGACACACATGGATGCATAAACATCATACAGAGCCACTTATCTTGGCAAGGATTTTCGAAGAGGGTTACTACCAATTCATGGGGATGTGTAATGAGGAGATTATCTTCTAGTGGGAGTGGATGTCTGCTTATGCAAGAAGTTTCTTATCCTATGGGGAGAGGCGGTTTTAGGTTCAGTTTACCTGGTCAAAGTTTAAGTAAAGTGACAGACTCTGGAGGAAGATATGTGTATAAGGATGAAGGTATTTGCATTTTTTCCCCTTCATGGTGAATGGCATACTTCAGGTTTTTTGCCCTTCTGAGGGATGGATGGGAGTGTTTACCTGTTTGGATGGAGTTGTGTGGTAAGATTATTTTATCTGTTCTTGAGTTGTGTGGAGCAGGCTACATTTTCCTTAGCTGAGTTGTTGAAGTGCTGATAAAAATGGGCAGATATGAGGAATCTGGGAATGTTATGATGTAAATAATCAAGAAAAATAATTTACATTGAAACCTTACATTGGGCCCTTTTATGGGCTTTTAAAAAATTTGTTACATAATATAAGTAACTTTCTAGTACTGTGTGTAAAATGATACATACAATTAATGGGGGTATTTTAAAGTGGTTGAAGACTAGGGATATTCCAGTTAAAGGCAGTTGTTAGTACAAGTTTTGCTGTGTATTCTCTGGGAATCAACAGCAGCAATATTTCTCTTAAGTCTGTTCTTTTGTTATAATATCTACCAACTCGTTGCTATGACTGTTGTTTTTGCTTTTTCAGAGTAGTCTGTTGGGGATGTGCAACAGACCCATGCACTTGCAAATGCTTGTTGCTTCTGTACAGGAAAAGGTAGTGTTATGTCAGTCACGGTATCTGGTGTTGTTTTGTTGCTTCTGAGCAATATTCATCTGTGATGACAATAAAGGTGTATGAAGCTTTGGTGATTTGATAATTTAATCAGTGCTCACTCTTATGAGGTGTAAACTTATCTCCTCTATTTTTCTCCAACTTCTGAAAAATGGGGATAGATAATTAAGTACTTGGAAGAAAAAGCTATGGCTAGATCTCAGAAATTGTTTCTTTGTTTTCATGCTGTAGTACAGGCAGTCCCCGGGTTACGTACAAGATAGGGACTGTAGGTTTGTTCTTAAGTTGAATTTGTATGTAAGTCGGAACTGGTACATATTGTAGGGGAAACTCTAGCCAAACATTTCTCCAGAGCTCAGTTTTATTCTCCCACACCTCACTTCCCTCAGTCCTTTATTCTCAAGCTGAGGTGTCTGCTGAGAAAAGCCGCTCCGCGTCTCCCTGATCTGCTGGGGGGGGGGGGGGGAACGCTAGCTTCGCGTCTCCCTGGCCTGCTGGGGGGAAGCAGCTAGTGCGGGGTTGCCTCACCCCGTTTGTAAGTAGGGATTCGATGTAAGTCGGATCCATGTACCCCGGGGACTGCCTGTAGTTGAAGACAGGCTAGCTTTCTTCATTCTTCAGTAGCAGAAGGATCTTTTCCTATATTTTCTTCACCCTGATTATTATTAAGCTGTTGTTCTCAACAACTTGCCTGTTTTATTTTTAAATTGTCTACTGAAAGGTGAGTCATATACAAGTTCTCTTATTTTTGAACACGAGGAGAATGTTGGAGAAGGAATTATTTAGTATTTTATTCAGTTACTTCCATTGAATGTGCTGCTTGGAAGGGCTGTCATAAACTTCATTGGTCTAAAAGCACTTAAAATGTTATTAGTTTATGTGACAAAATAGGAGAAGTGCAATTTTTCAAGAAAAATTCTCAGCTTTTGATAATTATTATTCTTTGCAAGCGCCTTTTTTCTATCTTTTGTACATACAAAAGAAAGTCATTTGTATTCTGGTGTTCAGAAAAATCTAAAGGTGCTCTTGGAAACAATTTTTGGGGCAACATATGGGTAGTTTTATCCTCCAAACCAGTGGTGGGGAACCTAAGGCCTGGGAGCTAAATGCGGCCTCAGGCTTGCCTGGATCTGGCCCCTGAGGCTCAGGGCTTCCCTCCCCTAGCATTGGAGAGCCCACACTGGTGTTCCAGCCCTTCCACCATCTCACCGTGAGACTGGAGCACACACTATGCTAGCCTGGGCTTCCCTAGGTTCTGGTGTGTGAAGGGAATGTGAGGAGTGTCTTTCTCCTTCTCAGTTGGGGGCCACATGAGTGAAGGTTTAGCTTTTCTTTTCACTTCTCACTTGTGTGCAGCTGCTGGCTGACTTTTTCTGTAAGTCAGTGGCCCTGGCCCAAAAATGGTTCCCCAGCCCTGTTGTAAACTCAGAGAAACAGGTCCAAGAAGAAGAGAAGTCTGATTTGCTAGAATAATAAATAAGAAAAGAATGGATGTGGGGTCTCTGCCACTTTGTAATTTGGCTTGGCAGAGAAGTTGAATTACCTTTTTAATTCTTTTGTGCAGGCGAATATAGTTGCCATGTGATAGCAATCACAAAAAAGGCTAAATTGCCAATGTTGCTTTGTGCAGTGTGCTGTCAACTGAGTCTTTAGTTAATTATTTGAACCTGCTCTACAGGTAGATTTGTCCTCTCTTGTTTTTTCTTGGCCAAGGGATATTTTGAGGTTTTAATTGATAGATTGTTGGAGTTTGTGATGGGAATGGTAATAAATCAATGCCTTTGTTGGTTTATTTATTTCAGCGATGCTGAGCATCTAGCTCTCATTCTGACTTAATTCAGTGATGGGTGCTGATCTTCTCTAAAAAGCAAGCTACCTGTTACTGAACAAAATTTCCAGACAGCTTTTTTTTCTATTTGAATATTTAGGCTCTAACAAAGGTTCCATATTCATGTGTGTAAAGTGCATTGAATAAGTAATTATTGTATAGAATATTGATATTTAGGAGTCACTTTCAAGACTGCTTAATGTTAGTGTTTTAATTATTTATATAAATGCCTTTGAACTTTTTTTTAGAAAAAGTATATTAGCAAATGAAATTGGTGTTTCTTAGGCAGAGTGGTTCTGCTGATGTTATTCCCTGATAAGGGACAACTTACAGTTTCAGTTAGTTATATTGAGTGGAAAGTTCAGCTGCCAGGATTAGGATTCAGGAATCACTTGCTCTTATTATTGTGCTTAATCTGTCATTGACTGTTGAGAAATCTGCTCAATTCCAGAAAGAGGGTTGTGAGAGAGCTTGCTGTAGTGACTTTAGTGCCATCAGTTGCAGTGCTGTCTCCTAGACTGACAAATCAATTTGGGGCCCTCACAAGAAATTGAGAAACTTGTGACTGTAGTTTCCACAGATCACAAAGGCCTGGAATAAGTCACTATAAGAGAAGATCTCTGAATAACCCATGGAAAAATCAGTGCCATGCTTAAAACCTTAATAATTAGTTATATTTTCAAGGCTGTTACTTCAAGAAAAAGAGCTAGAAACCAACCTTCTAAAAATGAAAGTTGAGATAAGCACTGATGCTTCTGTTCTATTCAAATGAGTTAGAGGACAGGAACCTGGGAGTTTGGTATCTAAAGAATAATTCTGAGTTATAGGGGTAACAGGAACAAACTCGACAGGTTTAAAACTTTTTGTTTGGATAGTAATTTCCAAATGTTCCAGGGGAAAAACCTTTCCATTTTTCATGATAAAGAGTAATAGACTGGAAGTGATCAAATATTTTTTTGCTTAATAGTATAATAAGTTTTAAAGTGCACCTCATACTTTCTCAAAAGTGCATTTGTCTTTTAATAGTATATTTCTTTCATCATTGGTTCTTCAAAGGGAAGTAAACCCCCTGAACATGTATATTGTTATCACTTCTAGAATTCTTAGGCAAATCTATCTTTATTTTGTAAGGCAACATGACCAGTGTTCCCTCTAATTTTTCCCACCCCTTAGCGGAATGAATCTTATTATGTGCACCAATATGGAGGTGATGTGTGACACATTGCCTTCATATTGGTGCACATATCAAAATTAATGTAGTGAGAATAGGGCTAAAGGTTTCTGAGTGTGGGAGGGCACTTAGTAGGGATGTA